TCATGGTAATGTTTGCCTTGCCTCAGGAAGCAGAAGCTCTAGACCTTGAGAACTTAATGCAGTGAGAGATCTTAGTGCTGTGCTTAGTACAGAGAGCATGCCAAGGAGCACATGTAAGGGCTGGTACCTATTGAATGACTGAATTAGATCATAACTGCACAAAGGTTCCCTCAAAGTTCTTCGTGCCTTTGAGTGTTCATAGAGATACATAACACTGCACATGTTAAATCACCTAGACCTCTTTATCCAAACTCTGGTGTCGAGAGAAATTGCAATGATCTGAATGTTGACAGCAGGTGATCTGGAATTTTCCCAGAAGAAACAGAAGGAAATAACCCTTCTCCCCTTCTCTGTGCTCTGGGGAACAAAACTATTTGTGGAAGTTAAATGAGGTACATTCAGCTTGAAATGCCAAATTTCCAAACCTGTCCTGTGTGAGGAACTTATATATACAGAATCTATGAATAGCGTAGAAAGCAAAGCACAGCTGGCTTGGTCCAAGTCACATAAATTAAAACAGGCAGGACAGAAATTTCAGCCAGATCTCTGATGTCAGAGCCTACCTTCTCCCCACAGTGCTCTCGTTTATTCATTAAAGATACATTAAAATACATAACTACATGATAACTAGAACAGGATCCTGAAACTACATTCATTTTAGTCACATTTAACTGTGACTACAAATCTCAGTATCAGGGTTTTTGTTTTTGTTTTTGCTTGCACTAATAGAATTACTTCAGGTCATAATTTAGACAATTGGTCCATGTGGTTTGAATCATTAAAATACACCTAAAAATGTGAGATGAGGATATTACTCTATTGAAATAGTCAGTTACATGCTGAAATTAATTGTGTCCCTCCCCCCAAAAAACCCAAATGGTCACTCATTTGATAGATGGACTTCAAAACTTACGAATCATTTATATGCATAAATCAAGTTAACACTGCTGCTTTGCAAAGGAGCTCTCCCATCAGGCAGGCACGGAGGTAGCACCGGGTAGATGCAATTCAATGACATTTCTAAGTATTTCACTCAGATCTGTAGTTAATTCTTCTGCCTTAGCAGAAACTTTACCCTAGCTGAAAATTTCACTGTAATGAACATGACAACCCAAGATTTTTGCATCAGTCATGCAGTGGGTGACGAAAGAGAATGTAGAAGGTATACTATTTAGAAGTAAAAGAAATTGCAGTTGGCATCTGGCAATTGAGGTTATGATTTGGAAAGTTCTTTTCTTCTGGTACTAAAAGCAGCACTGTACGGAAAAAAGTTACCATGTCCTTGTTTAATGCAGGAACCGTGGCAAGCCAAAGTAAATGGCTTTTATGCTGCATGTCTCCGCAGGTTTTGAGCTAAATAAATAGAAGGACCATCTAACAACTCTGTTGTTTGTTACAAACTATTCATTTCACTGACTTCATGGACCTTTACTCTCATTGTTTAGACCTCAGAGTTGAGAGAGAAAAACAGTGACCACTGTGTCCTAGCACAGGCCTGTAACATAACATCGGATGGAAACTGTGGCATGGAAGGGAGAAGAAGGTGAACAAAGAGGCAGGCACAAGAGACCAGGAACCCTTTTCCTCTCTTGGTGCATGGGGTGTGGCCTGCTGGTGGCAGCATGGGAACAATAAAGACCACTGGGCTTGCTAACAGTGGTAGTGGACTTTAGTTCTCAAGGCCCTCCAACATAACCCACAGGCACCCTAAGGGGTTTGATAACTGTAGAAATGAACTACCTTTTTCCAGAATTGTGCCCAAGTCCTTGATAAGATTAGGGGCCTCTGTCATCCTTCAGAATCTTGAATGGTAAAAAACAGCAAACAAAAGATGCTTTCATTTATTTATATGTGCACTTGGGTGAATTCCTGGGTTTCTGTGATGCTCCAAAATGCTTTCCATACCATCTTTGGCCTTTTAAGTCTGCAGTGATATTTAGATACTCAATGTTGCAACTCAAATATCACAACTGATTTTGTCTATAATCTATTCACATAATTTTTTCCATAAATGCAGGGTGTAGAAAGAGCTAGACCTGGTCAGTGTGGCTGTTTCTGGAAACTGACTCCAAGTATCATCTTGCCTTGAACAATATGGAAAATATGATATGGGCTTTACCCTGTGGCTTTACCCTGTGACTTTCTAAAAATTCTTTTTATTACAAATTCTTTTTATTATCCTTGGTCATCAATAGGACCAAATCTTTAACATGTCTACTTTCTTATTTAGATAAATGCTTTAGAAAATTGTTATTTTTAAATAACAGTTTGTAAATCAGTTACACATGTGCTTTAGGAAATTGGCTGACAAAATATTTTTTACTTTATCTTGATGGTTAAACAATAAAGTCTTACAGTGCTTTTTTTTTAAGTTTCAAGTTCAGTAATATATCAGATGATAGCAGTTAAATCACATCGATAGTTTCATAATATTTGAATTATCTGTGTGCTTTATACTGCTAGCAAATGTATTTGTGCATGGCTATTTAAAATTCAAAAAACAATTAAATTTGTTTAATTAGAAAATCATTGAGAATAAAACAGCAAATGATGTCATTGTTTTAAAATATGTTTCCCTATCTCTACATATCTGTAATTGATACTTCTCATCAATTAATCATTAGCTGTAAACTCTTGATTGGTATCAAAATGACAGATAAACTAAAATAGCTGAAAAACATAAAATATTTGTAACTTTTACTGGTACATAGGGATCTTCCACAGCACAAATACATGAATAAGACAAGCATGTTACTTCCTTGAATTAAGGTCACACAAACCTTTATTCATTCCAAAGGCTGATAGCATCACTAAGCAACTGAGTTTGATGTATTTCTAGTAATAGTCCTTCTAAAATATTCCATTCTAATTATAAAGACAGTATTCCAGAAACATGCAGAAAACTCTATTTATTCCTAACTGTAAATGTAACCACATTGATTGATTCAACTGTAAGAAAAATATAAGATACATTGAAAAATGTCATTGAGACAAGTTTCCAGCTCTTGTCATTAACTGCTAATAAATGCAAATAAAGGCAAGCCTCAATAATACTGCAGCTACTAACAAATACTATTTGCATTTCCTTGATTGAGTTTGTTGGTCTCTATCTTAAGAGCTTGAAAGAAGGTTCATCTAACATATATTAGTAAAAGTGTTGGACTGATGTCTAGGTGCCAGGTTTATCAACCATAGGTTTTATAAAAGTATCTCTTTACCATAACAAAACCAATGATATTTTGTATGTTTTGTTGTTTTATGGTGCTGAGGATCAAAACCAAGACCTCATGTATTCTGCCCCTGAGCTATACACCCCCAGCCCCAAATCAACCAGTTGTTAATAAGTTTTGCATCACAACAAAAAGAGAAATCTTTTCTTAATGCAGCATTAAGGAAGTATATATTACATTGTCACCTAGCTATAACAGAAATTATTTTTAAGTAAATAAAATTAAAGTTTTAATAAAACTTAAAAATAAAGAATTCTGAGGTCCCAGTTCTTGTTTCTCTACTATACATAGTTGAATATGCATACTATATTATATATACACATAATTGAATATATGTAGTCAATTCAATCAGTCTTCAAATAGTATTAAATGTAGAAACTCATTTTCCTTTTTATGGGAAAAGACAAACTGCTTTAGAGATAAGATAGAGAATAAGAGCAACTTTTGTTTAAATTGGGTTGCCCTTTAAATCAATACTGCATAAACATGAGTAGAAATAGAAAAATTCTAACTTTAGAAACTACAGCATATAAATGTTTCCACTAGGCAAATTGTCAAGTCATATTGGACAGTAAGGCTGTACTTTCTTGACTACACAACTGGAAACAGAAAATCTTGATCTAAGAGTCTCTTTAGATTAAGTGCACATACACACACACACACACACACACACACACACACACACACACACAATTTTCAGCCAAGGGCAACTCCTTACTCTTCTCAAATTGTCTCATTAGCTAATTTCTAAGCACTTGTGTGTTCCATCTTTTTCAAGATAGGTAAAAAATTATTAGCTCTTCTGTATTCCTCACTCTCATGCTGAGTCATTGTTTTAAAATTCATCTTTGTTTAGAGCACAAATGGTGAATAAAAATCTAAAACTCTACCCAAAGTTTAATTTTGAAAAACAGCCTCTATCCAGATAATTTATATAGACTTTGAAAAGATAATCTTAGTGATTATATAATCAGAATTAATAGAATTTTTAAAACTTAGTCAGGTAAACCTTTTTCCATTATACTTTATGAATGCAATGGAAATAAGTCTACTGACAAAAATATTCTAACCATTTTTGGTAACACCAAATCATACCATCTTTCTTAAGTAGTTAATCAAATGTTAAAAGGAGAGAGATGGCAGATGGCCCATGGCAGTAATGCAAATTCCATTATCACCCAATCTCACTAGGATAACAGTGTTGACTTTGTCATTTCCAAATACAATACAGCTACAGCACACACTGAAGAACATGAATATCTGCCAGTTTTTCACAATAAAAAGCCAAAACTGCTGTTTCCTTTTTCTTTCATATAATAAAGGAAAAAAGACAGGGATGAAGTAACCATGTCAAAGTAAGACAAGAAAACAATATAGACAATTACAAACTCTATATGTAATGTATCCAAGTTTTTAAAAATTGATACTTCTTTGCCAATAAATTCTTAAGAGATTTATCATCCTTTTTTGAAATATTATAAAATTAATTCCTTAATAGTCACACAAATATATTTATAGTTTATGGAAGAGACAATTTATTAAACTAGAGATACATGTTAATGTATATAGAAATATGAAGTATTTTTATAGTTTTATCTTAATACCTAATTAATGATAAATAATCATCACACATCATCATCTCATAAAAGGAATAATATAATAATTATATATTCCAATAAGAACTTCAAGATAAAGTAACTTGAGGTTTGAAAATTTAAAATACCTAACACCTCTTCAATAGTTCATACATGTGTTCTGTTATTATCTTACCACAATGATTTTATCATGAATCTCCAGTCCATTGACTTTGTCAGCAGGTCCATTTTCTAAAATTTTTGAAACATAAATCCCTTCAGTGGACGATTCTTCTGGATTATTCTATAAGAAACATCATCATTAGCAGAAAGAAATGCATAAGCAAACTTTTTGCGAAAGTACAGTTTTCTAAATGAAACATTGCCAATCATTCTTAAACAGGCAACACTCAGCTGGGAATCTGGCACAGAACTATAATTTACTTAACATCAATGAGTCATTAATCAAGATGGCAGTTTCAACAAACACGGCCAGCATCTCTGACAAGATTATCTGTTTGCTACCTATGTTGATTATGACAGGGCCTGCATATGTGACAGCAACTGGCTCTTATTATTTTTAAAACATCTTGTCTTCAGAGTGACGTATAAGTAAAGAGGATGATAAATATATAGAAGACAGCGTAACCAGCCTCTATTAAATAATACGTTTTAAATATGGTCATAATTTAGAAAATATAATTTATCATCACAATTGATGTGATCAACTTGCAAACAGCACTGACCAGGTCTACTCTCAGGGGAGCCTGGGACCTTGCTCAATTGTGAAACCCCAAAAGATAGCTCCAAGCTGTAAGGAAACCCATTCAAAGCTAATCTTCACACATTTCCAAGTACAATGTGCCTAATGACTAGTTAAGCCTCAAACATAGCCCTCATGCTACAAATAGGGCACTTTAACCAATCCAGTAAACCAATTAATTATAAAATGCATTTGGGGAAAATATTTATCCTATAATAATATAGTCTATTACTGTCATTTTACCTCATGGCAGATTAAATAAAATTATTTTTCCTTTCTTAGCTAGCCTTCACTTGAGTTTTAAGAGGCTCTTAAAAATCTCCCATGTCATCTCAATTTCAAATATCTAACTGCTGTTTATAAAAATATCCTTAGGGAAAAACAGAACAAAAATAATTTGATTAAAAGACTTCTATCTTCACAAAGTAAGTGGGGACTCTTGGAAACCAAAGCACGGCAGGTGTTAGTTGCTAGGTTTCCTGTCTGCGTATAACACACACGGAGGAAGCAGGTCACCTGCATCCTGACCTAAACAACAGCATATGGCCAGCCAGCGTTACTAGGTTTCCTCCATACATGCAAGGTGAAGAAGACTCCACGGCCAAGTACTGGGACACTGGAGAGCATTATTTCTTTCTTTCTTTCTTTCTTTCTTTTTTTTTTTTTTTTTTTTTTTTGTCTTTTCTTTTTTATCGGTACCGGGGATCAATCTCATGACTGCCTGCTTGCAAGGCAGATGCTTATGCTGCTGAGCTAAATCCCCAGCTCCTGAAAGCATTATTTCTTTAAACTTCACTTCTTTCCCCTTGTGACAATTAATTAGATGTAGAATTTGAAGGATATGAAAGAACTTGGAGATTATAGTATGTAAGTGTACAATATACATTTTGAAAATAACTGCCATTAATACAGGGATCATGATTCATTCGATTATAAAGGAGTTAGTTTAGGAAATCAAAAATATTTCAAATCAATTTTATTTCATATGGATTTTCCTATGTAATTATGAAAACAATTATGATTTATTTTGACTACTCATTCATTTAACATACACTATTAACCTCCCAATCTGTGTTAGTCTAAAAACTGAACAACCTGACTTAATCAATAGGACGTTCAAGCAGACAAAACAATTGCCTGATATTGTCAAATAGAAATTGCCTATATAAATTACTGTGAAATGGGTTTAAGAAACTTGCTAATGGTATGATAAAATGTGAAATCTGTAGCCTTTTTTCAAGTGTAGTTCAGAGAGCCATTTTTATTTCCCTTAAGAACGGAATCTAAGTAAGTGTTGGACAATTTATATCAAGGAATTTGGTATTTGATCATAGGCTTAATTTTAAATACTGACCCACCTGTTTTTCTGACTAAAAATGTACAAATGAAAGGTGAACCTTCTATTATTTTTTATGCAGAGAGTGAGCCACACAGTAACAAAGGAGTTACCTGATTTAGTCGACCTCCTATAATGTTGAATCCCAAGGTGTCATTTTCTCTTTTTAACACAATAGTAAAGGGCTTCTGTTCTCCATCCTGGAAGAAAAGTGATAAACGAATACAATATTCATTTTAAACTTTATAAAAGAAAATAAATATTGTGATATGTTTTATATAAATAAACTACTTGACATTATTTGAAAAGGAAAAAAGTTTAAAATTAAGGATAGACGATTGGTAGAAGGTTAGTTTCTTCCTGAACACACTTTGAAAATATGTATTTAAAGAGAACAACTTATGTGTCAAAGGCAAAAAGTACTATTTTCAAAATAACAAAATAGTTTTGGAGTTTACACTTGTAACATCTAATTTAAAACATTGGTTTTCTATTTAACTTTGAAGGAATCTTTATTTTTGCCTTCTGTTCCACCAAAGTAAAATGTTTTGTGTAATAGTTTCACTTCAGCTAATCTTAGAGAATTTAGAAAATACTGAGCTAGTCACGAATTTCTTTTGACACTGGTAATTGCATTTCTGCTGAAATGCAGGATACGTTAGGCTCCATGAAGTGATCGTCATTTCAAATAACATCTTCACTTGGTTTTACACATGTGTTGGATAATAATAATAATAATAATAATAATAATAATAAAGTGTTCTTACTAAGTAAAATAATATGTAATATGGACACTGTATTTCTTCCCTGATGATCTAATAATTGTTAAGCAAATTGGAGTTACGTTTACAACCTGTCTTTCAGTAAATACCAATTTAAATATAACACATTGCTGTCTGAGTCTTGGTCATGGTCACTGTCACTAGTAACTTATCTTAGGGAAGCAGATATTTGGAAGCTACTTCTGAAAGATAAAACTCAACCATCACTACCACCCTCTTCACCAAGCAGCTCCCAGGCAGTGCACACAGCGGCCCCTACTGGTAGTGAGAGAACATTTCCGAGGAGCACCCAACAGCACTGGGATCATTAATTAATCTGTGCATCACAGGCACTTCCTCACTTCTCAGCACCTGAGCTTAACAGATGACGTGGCCTTCTCCATCCTATAATCCTAACTGTTACTCCTGTCCATCAATCATTGTTTCCCTAAGACCTTGAATCCTGAACTGCTAACATAGAACGTGCTTTGGGGCTTTTCTCTAGGTTCTCCCATTTGTAAAATTACTTGTATATAAATAGGCCAGAGAAAGAACCCTGGCATCTCCTCTGTTAGTGCACCATGTGCTTCCCTTTACCAGGGTAAAAATAGTTTAGCCCCCCTCTCCTTGCCAGAGTTGGAGGCAGCACTAAGCATTCAGTCCCAGGGAAAGCTGAAGAATGAAAACAGCTCCTTGAATGGAGTGCAAGTTCTGCTAAATCCCTGCTCACCATGGCAGCGGCCAACAGTGTCAAACACTGCAGAGAGTCCTCCTGGAGAGAAGTAGCAGCTCTATAAACACGCCTCGTTGCATAGCGTGATTCAGGGAAGCTCGTTTATTCCGTGTGAACACAGGCAGCCCAAGAGCACAGGTCACGATCAGCAGCTTCCACCAAAATAACAAAAACCCCAGCAACAACAACTGCCTGGGGCCCTCGGGGCCAGTGGGACTGCAGACAGATGTGGCTGCCCTCTGCCAGGGCTCCAGGCTTCCGAGGGCTAACACCCACACACTCCCCACCCCAGTCACCTGAGACCCAGAGGCAGGAAGGGTCAGTCAGGGAAGGTCAGGCCGAGGAACCCTGCAGGTTTAAGAAATCCCACGTCTCAAGCCCAGAGCTTGTCCGGCCCTCCGCTCCCTCTCAAGGTCCAGAACTGAGGACAGACAGGTAGTGGACGGATGGGGCAGTTTGGCAGGGCGTAAGTCTTTCACAGCCGACCCCCTTCCTCCTGGGACTTGCTGCAGGTACAGGCCAAGGTACAAAAACACCGACAAGGGCAGCGGAGCCGGAGAGTGAAGGATGGGGAAGAGGAACCCGGGTGGGGAGATGAGTTTTCCCACTCCCTACTTCTCAGGGGTGGAAGTTGGAATGGAATCTGTTTAACTCTTCCCAATCCTCAAGTGACTGGGACAGGGACGCCTTGTTAGCCCCGCGGTAGAACCACATTTGGGAGAAGGATCGGGAGTAAAGCAGGATGCCACCTCCCCAAAGTGCCAGCAAAGGCTCGGCCCCGCCACCGCGCCCCATCCCTCTCGGTCCGCGCTTACCCTGCCGAGGCCGCCGCCCGGGTCCCTGGCGAGGCTGCGGATGTGAGCCATGTACTGGGTCAACTTCTCCTGGTACTTGCGCGCCGTGAGCTGCACCTCGCTGCGCAGCGCCCAGAGCTGAGCCGCCAGCGCCTTCTCGCGCCGCCCCCAGGCGAGGCCCCGCACCCCGGCTCCCCGCGCGGCCCCGCCGTCCCCAGCGCCCGCCGAGCGGCCCCGGCGGCGGCCACCGCGGCTGGCGAGGCGGAAGGCGCAGCGCTCGACGTGCGCCGCCAGCTCCCGCAGCCGCACCGTGTGGCCGCAGCCGCGCGCGCGGTAGTCGCACTGGACGCGCAGCTGCTGGATGAGGCTGCGCAGCGGCAGCACGGGGCGCAGCTCGCCCGGCGCCAGAGGCTGGCACTGGAGGGGGCACCGGCGCCTCTGCGCCGCCCAGGGCAGCAGGCAGCTGGCGCAGTAGACGTGGCCGCAAGGCGCGCACACCGGCTCGTCCAGCACCTGGCCGCACAGCCCGCACGTGAAGGCCGGGTCCACGGCTTCCGCAAAGCGCTCCAGGGCGAAGCCCATGTTAGGAGTGGGGAGGAAGGGAAGCCAGAGCGGGAGTCCGCCTTCTCCTCTCCTGGGCAACTTCTGCCTCCCTCGCGGGCTACTGGGAGCTCAGACAGGCAACAGCAACCTCTCTTGAGGGTGAGAGAGGGGCGAGAGGTGAGAGCTCAGAATTTGGAGTTTTTAGGCTCCAGCTAGGTCCCCTGACTGCGCCACCGTATTCTCGCTAATAGAAGCCACTTGAGTGACCCCCCCAACCCCTTCCCCGCCTCCTTTCCAACTATTGTTTGTTTTGCTTTTTTTTTTTTTTCTTCTGATTTTTTTCCGCAGAGAATTGAGGTTATGTTATATGGTGCTTGTAGAATCAGTATTTGCCTGAACAGTGAACTTCGTTCACAGGCTTCCTGTCCTGGGCTTAGCTGATGGTAGGCATCAGGCAGACCAAAATAACTTTAATATCTATCTGAGTGTAAGCTTCAGGAAGCAGGATCTTCATCTGATTTCCTGCAAAAATTCATTGGCCAGTGACAGGCAAATCTTCTATGTTTGAGATGAATTCACTTTTGTTCTTCCAAATCAGCCAACTACAAAAGATCAGTTAAGAAGGTGAAACCTTAGGATGTTCCTGTTAGGAAAAGATTACTTAGGATCTCTACAGAGTAAGGCTTCAAGCCAGGATTTAAATCAGGTGAGAACAGCAAGGCAAGGTGGGGCCTTGCAGCAGCCCAGAGACAAGAAAAGGCCCTGTGCAGGTGTCAGGACATCCTGCTCAGAGCCTTACCCAGCAGACTGACCCTGAGCCTGACGCCAAGTCCAATTGCTTCACCACTCATCCACTTCCACACCTACTTTTACCACTGAGAATGGAAATGCGACCATGGGGACACCTGGGAAAGAAAATGCACGGAAAGGACTCTGAAAGAAAGCAGTAAAATAACATAGAAACTAAGTCTTAATAGAGCTTTCCTCTGCTTATTCAGAATGTACCCTTCAAGCCCAACCCTTCCTCTTAAGAGGAAGTTTGACTCTTAAGAGGGGTAGCAGGAAAGTCTACTGGAAAACCTGGAGCAAACTGTTCCACCAAGCCCTGTTCCCCCAGCTTCCTTCACCATCTTTTGAGCTTTAAGAAGCCAAAAAGGCCTTCCACCTGGATGTCCATCACTGAGTGCCATTATTTTTAAGAAGCTACTACCAGATGTTTAAATAGGTTTTGTAAATTAATCATGAATTATGTCTCACTGCCAACTCAATATTGTTTCTGGAAAGCTATGAAAGGCATCAGTTCAAATATATGATGAAAGGCCTTGGACTGTCTTTTTAATCCTTGCAGCCAAAGAATTAGCAAAGGTTAATCATAAGGCCCAAATGAGCATCTTCTGAATGTTCTGTCTGTATGAAAGATCAGCTCTTATTAGAATAGCTCAATAAGCAAGTGAACCCTGAAGTGGCATGCCAGATATATAACACATTTTTAAGCCTTTTAAAAAAAAAAAAAATTAGATCCTGAGGACCATAGATTTAGCTCAGCAGAATAAGGAATAAGCGCCTGCCTGGCAAGAGTGAGGTCGTGCGTTGGATCCCAGTTACCACAAAAACAAAAACAAAACAAAACATCAACAAAAAAAGATGCTGGCCCAGCGGCTTGAGCACTCACCTGGTAAGCTAAGCATGTGTTTGTGAGTTTGATCCCAGGTAGCAAAACAAACAAAAAAAGCATTAAAATTAGATGCTATATTGCACATTTTGTATATATAGGTATATAATAAAGATTTACCACTATGTTTCAAGTAACCTCCTTTCCTTTGACCTATCTTTCTAAAATAAGGAAACAAGATCCTGAATAAATAAGAAGTCTATTAACAGCATCATCACAAATATTTTTGTGAACTGAATAGATAAAGAATGTGTAATATTATAGAATTCATTCAAATATTTCTGGGCAGGATAAATCTATTTAAGGCTTTTTAGCATATAAAAGCTGATGACTTGCAGCTGTGACTGTACAGGTTATCTCTTGACATTAACATGTTATACAGTAAATGAAATGATAGAATATTTTTAAGGAGGAGCAGGAAAAGATAGAATCTTAAAATGTTCTATTGTGGTATTAAGAAAATGAAATTCATAGTTACTTGGAAAGAAAAATAAACAAGTAAAGCAATGGTCACATCATGTCCTCGGTTCACCCATGGAATTCCTATTGCAACAATAAAGAATGTGTGCAGGTTATGAGTAATTTGGGATACATAACAGTTTGATTATTAGAGAGAAGGCAGATGTCAAAAACCTTGTCCACAGAGAATAACAAGTTCAAAAATGAGAACATGTGAAGTGAAGCCAAGAAATAAAGTAGGCCAGAAGGAAGCTCAGGATAGTATCTTACATAAGACAGTGCAAGCTTGAGCATTGCTAAAGTATAAGGAAAAAATATTACAGAAGTTGGACTCTGAAGAAATGGGCACAGCTAAGTGAATCTTGGAGATGCTTAAATCTGAAACATTGTGGCCTAATAAATCTGTGACACTGGTTGAGGTAGACAGTTACATTTCACTTCCCAGACTATCAAAGACTGTTCTATATATCACGAAACTTGCATTGTCGTCAGAAAGCTTGGGTAATCTGGGGCCTGATAAATGGAAGTCCAGATCTTAGCTATGTAAAGAAAGCACTTAGAATAGGTCTAAAATATTTCAGCAGATTAGATCCATAAGAATTTAAATGCCTCCTGGTAAATGAGACAAATCAGAACTTTTCATCATCAACTTGAACGTATTCTTTTTTCATTGATCATAATTCCCAACCCTTTAAGAATCCCTGGAGAGTAAAAACTGTGGGCTGGACAGAAACATTAGGGGAAGAACTTAAAGAGAAGTCACTGTCTTCCTACTTCTGGAACAGAATCTATTTCTAGTTGTATTGCTAGTCAAGGTTATGACCAGATTTGCTACTTTTCTCCTAAGTTATCTGTCAGTTCGACCTGAAAGCGTGCATTGCCAACTTAGGGACCAAAGAAAGACAAGAAGTCCACTTAGTTTATCTTCCAGCCAAGAACCATGGCTTGATTCAAAATGTCTTTAAGTAATCAGTATTTGGTTGAATATTCACAACTTCATAACTCCATTTCACTTCACCCCACTGTGCAGGATATTAATAAAAAGAGGGAAAGAATGAACTTGCTATGCTTCTGGGCCAATTCTTAGAGCAGTAATAAAACAGGAGTATGCCAAGCGGTGTTTCCCATGAGAAGAGGTAGGGTTCCCACACAGCCCTGAGTCATGCTCACTCCCAAGGATGAACGGGGAATATGGGAGTCATTGGCTATTAAATCAAGTGCTAAAAGACCTAATATTAAAATGCTATATTCTAAGATCCATCAGTGATGAATGGAGAGGTGAAACAGGAGATGGAACATTCTTTTTTTCTGCCTCAAGTGAAGATAATTCTTTACTTAAAACCAACTCACTTATGACTTACGTCATATTGTCTCATGCATTTAATATCCATAAAGTTCAGGAAGCTTGGTTAAAAAATACATTAAATAAATAAATCACTTATTTAGTGTTTACCATGGATAACTGAGTACTCTAAATGATTGTTTTAAAATTATCCATTATAAGAGCTTTCTCATAAAAAACTTCATCATACATACTTTCATATCTGTGATTTCCCAGTTATTTATTATGAATTAATATCATGTTTATCATCATTTCCCCACAGCGCCCTAAACCGAAGCTATAACGTTATGAAACTGAAGCTGAGCCAAAAGTACTCAGTTCCTATAGGTCAAAATAATTCCTATAGAGTAGGTTTTTCTTAATTTTCAAAGTCTGTGTTCATATTTGTTCTTATCTTGTTAACTTCCTGTCATAATCAGAGATCAGTATTACACCAAGTTAGGTAAGTGAATGGATTCAAATGGCAGGAGATAATAACAAGGTTACCTTAATGTCATTTAAAAAGTTCAAACTTGACAAGAACAATAGCAGATGTTGCTGAGTTAGTTAAATACTCATTTTAAATGAGGCAGCTATTTTTGCAATATTAGACTGATTATACTATCAGAGACACATTTTGGATATATATTTCATTCTAGAAAAATACAGACTCAGTTAATCCTAGAGCAATATCAATCCTTATAATCCCTGTCTGTCGACATGTAATCCATTAGGAATTATTTGCTATTATCTTGTTTTTCTGTTATCTTTGGCAGAATGAAGTGTTAGAAGAGGTATCGTGATAGCACAGAATCCCATTGTTAAGCATAATTAGGTGATATGAATAAAATTATGATGTATTGCTAAATAGAATAAATAATGTACAGTAATTATACAGTTTCGATGGGAATTGTCAGAAAAGCAGAATGAACAATTTTAAGGCAATGCAGTGCAAGTGAAACATTAAGTTAAAAATTATGGCAAATTTTCTACTAAATAATAGACTGATTTTTCCAAGTTACTGAATCATTATTAGAGAAATATTGCTCTCCTATTAGAGGATTATTTTGAGATGTGTTATAGAGGAAAATACACTAAATTCTACATTTAGTTAACCTTGATTTTTCACTGTATCATTCACAGTGACTGACAAACTAGGGAGTTGTAAAAACCACCCCAACAGCTGACATTAATATCTGCTTATTTTCTCTCTTTTATCTTTCCTAAGTGACAATTTTTGATGGATACTGGTATCATCCCCATGACTTGAGCCAATTTATGCAAATAGAAAGTGGCTATAGTTGGGTGTCGATCACAGGCTACTTCACAAAAACAAACCCTCACTTTTAAATACTTCTCTGTAATTGCTTGTCTTACTCTGTTTTTTCTTGTGTTTTGTTTTTTGCTTTTCACAGCAACCATGGAGCTATTTTAGAATAAAATACACTAGCAAGTGTAATGTATGCATGGATAGATAGTTGTGTAGATTGTTCCTGATTTAAAATGACTCAACTAGAATGTGTTTTGTTTTGTTTTATGATAGAGCAAAAATAATGTGCATTAAGTACAAAATATGTCTCAAATTTTCATCTTTTCTGGGGCTACTCAATGCAGTAAGAAAGTCTTTGATGATTCTGGGCACCATCAATGTGCGCCTTC